TTACCTGCTGTTCCTGTGTGCTGCCATTGGAATCTTATCTTGAGGAAGCCTTATGCCTGCTCACTTTGGCCCTGTAGGAAGAATGAGCTGCATTGTATCTGTGCTGTACACTTGGCCTCAGTCAATGAAATGCACTTTTGTAATGGAATCATCAGTCACGGTTAGAGAGGGGAGCCCTTGTCTTCGAACGGAAATCTTTGTAAGGCACCTGACCCTTGAAATAAATCAGGAACCCAAGAGTTATTAAGGATATAAGCATCATGGCAACTTCCAGTATACACAACACAGACTTCTAAAATATGGTTCCGATGATCATAAGTGACTTGGACATAGATGGAGTCGAAACTTTTCTATGAATGAAATCAGCCACATTATAATAAAGTATTCTCAACACAATATGTGCCCTGTCCAAAGCACCCTGTGCTCAGAATGGTCCAGGACTTGTTACAGTTTTGTAGTGGTGTCCCAGAATACCCTCATTCGGAAGTGGGACTGTGTCTCGCTCATCTGGAGCAAGCTGAAGGAGGGTCACTGGACCCAAAACATTAACTCCGCTTTCTCTCCACAGATGCTGCCAGACTTGATGAGTTTCTCCAGCAACTTCTGTTTTTGTTCAAACTTCCAGCCTCCGTAGTTTTTTGTTTTACTTTAGTGGTTAAATCACGGCCACATCTCTTCCAGGTATGCCCACCTTGAAGAATTTCTGTCCCTCTCTCTGATTTAGATTTCCATTCTACTCTTTCTTCTTGTTCACCATCATTACTTTTGTTGTTGCTGTTGGTGATTGACAAGGTATTTGCCAAAACTTGCTTTTAAAGCTATATCTCATTCCTTAGTGACTGCCTCAGGCTCAGACTCACTCCATGTGGATTCCAACTGAAATTTCATCCTGCATGTTTCAAATCCACTCAGGATACCAGATCTTTTCATGATGTACAGTGCTCCTCAGAGAGCTGTTCTTGCTGCCCTCTGAGATCTATGCTCAGTGCCATGCATACTTTCCATCTCTCCACCAGCACCAGCTACTGCTATCCCAGAGCTTCCGTGGCCCCCAGTTTCACTTCATCCTTCAGCTCATTCAATGTTCTAACTAAAAACTTTTCTGTTCCTTTCAGGCGTTAAGGAATTCAATTCTGAAAAGGGCACTGGCACCATTAACTGTTCTTTCTCTTCATAGATGCTGACCGGTCTCCTTGAGTTTCTCCTGCAATTTTGAATTTTGTTTCAGATTTCCAGCATTGAAGTCCTTTGTTTTATTTAGCCTTGCTTTTAACTGTTCATCTCCCCAGTTTACCTGAGAACCCAGGCTTACTGCTTAATAAAGCCTAACATAGTCATACACTGTTTCCTCCCCCTCCCCCAAATCAAATCCAGAATGTGGTAACCATCACTGAACCCCTTCCTATCCCAAAGTACCTCATGCTATTGCATTCTCTAATATTGTACTATCCCCTTATATGTACAGTTACCCTCCATCCAAGCATGCTGCCTCCAGTCTATTTGATTTGATTTATTGTTGTCACATGTACCTAGGTACAGTGAAAAGTTTTTTATTTTGCATGCAGTACAGGCAGATCATAACAGACAAAGTACATTAGAGTAATAGAAAAGAGTGAGGAATACAATGTTAAGGCTGCACAAAAGGTACAGGAAGAATGAGGTCAACATTAAATTTAAAATTTTAGAGCTCCATACAGAAATCTAATAACAACAAGGAAAAAGCTGTTCTTGAATCTGTTGGTACATGTGTTTAAGCTTTTGTATCTTCTGCCCAATGGAAGACATTGGAAGAGATTATAACTGGTGTGGGAGTGGTCTTTGATTATGTTGGTTGCCTTCCCAAGGCAGTGAGAAGTATAGATGGAGTCAATAGATGGAAGGTTGGCTTGTGTGATGGACTGAGCTGTATTCACAACTCTCTGTAGTTTTTTACGGTCCTGGGCAGAGCAGTTGTCATTCTCAGCCTGATGCTTTTGGATAGAATGCTTTCCATGGTGCATTAATAAAAAAAAATGTTAGGAGTCTTCATGGACATGCCGACTTTCCTACGCCTCCTGAGGCAGTAGAGACATTGTTGTGCTTTCTTGACCATCACGTCAACATGATTAAACCAGAACAGATTTGCTGATCATCACTCCTAGGAACTTGACACTGTTGACCATTTTCACCTCAGCACCATTAAAGTAGAAAGGTGCCCTTTGTCTTGCTTCCTGAAGTCAATGATCAGCTCTTTAGTTTTGCTGATGTTGAGGGGGAGATTGTTATATTTACACCATGCCACCAAGCACTCTATCTCTTTCCTGTATTCAGGCTCGTCATTGTTTGCAGTATGGCCTACAATGGTGGTGTTGTCAGCGAACTTATAGATGGAATGAGGATGGAAATTGACCACACAGTTATGGCTACACAATTTCCCCAACACAGGACTGGCCCCTGATAACCACTCTTGACCTTTAAAGCACAAAACCCCAGGACTGATTGTAGCTCACCTCACTGACAGACTTGGAACGGCAGCCATGACTGTTCACAGGCCAGATCCCTGTCTGATCTCTGTGCAACTTCCCAACTGATTTGCTGACAATACATGGACTGGTTGGACTCAACCTGCAGGACTGTCCGTAGCTCACTCTTTGGACTGTAATGACACAGGTCCCCAGATGCTGATAGGATTGAGCTGGCTGACCATGGCCAACTTCCTGGATTGAGATCGGATGTTACTCTTGATTAACTGTGATGGTACAACCTGCCTGACCATAGACTCCCTGACAGGACTTAGACTTTCAAATATGGCCGTTTGGCTGAAGCATACATAGTGTATCTGCCATGTAATCTGTAGGCACATGCAGGGTTGCAACATTAATGTAGCACAATGCCATACAGCAACATCTCCACCCCCTTGATTGGTCATTGCTGGCAAACCTGGCTTTCTGCCCACGCTATAAGGCAAGGCCGAACTGCCGTGGGCCTGTAAGTTCTGAATGAAGGGCATATGCAAAAAGGCAAACCAAGGTAAGGCAGAGATGCTGTGAGCATCCAAGTGAGTGCAAAGTGAGTGAGCGATAAGAGAACAAGCTAAGTACGGGAGATGCATCCTGTTTCAATGCATGAGATGGTTTCTTGTCCCTGTGTGCAAAGCAGCCTGACATCAGCATTGCAACGTGTCAGTGATCTCAAAAGTGCAGTTTTGAAGTGTTGAACTGTATCATATCTCTGCCCTCAGATGCTTGAGAAGACTGGAAAACGCTGGCCAGCTGTAGCAGCTAGGTAACCGCTCTGACTTTCAAGGCTGGAATTGATGACTTCTAGTTTCTCTCTGGAATCTGGGAAAATAGCACCCTGTATATAAATGAGAAAGGATTATGCAATGATGAAATGTTACTTGGTGTAAATAGAGTCCCTCGCCACTCACCATCGAAGTTCTGATCTAGCTGTTAAACTTTGTGTTGAAAATTGAATCCTTTCTCGTTGACATTGAGAATCTTATTTTTTTATTCTGAACATATATTTCCGACTGTCTAGCCATGTCCCACATTATTCGGAGTCTGGAAAATTGAAAACTTCAGCCCAATATGAGTGTAAGAATGTGTATAATGTGACTGCCTATAACTCACTATAGGCTATGTTGCTTGAGCTCTCTTACAACTAAGTGGTGTTTACCTGGTGAAAGCTCCAACAATTTTTGCATTAGTATTCTGGGTGCAACATAGGGTCCCAGTTTGCCTAGTAAAGCTAGCTTCTTCAAGCAAGCAAGCTGTTCACAGTTTGGGGTGGCAAGCTTGAACAACTGCAACTCAGATGCAAAATGGCTGTATGATGAATTTCTCCTACCTTTAGCTCACTAATTAGATTGCTTTGTTATCCAGAACTAGATAACGTAAATGCATTATTTCTCCAATACGACGCACTGACGCATACAGAAAGTCAGGTAGCTTATCGTGTTTGCCAGCAATGAAAAGTCAAGGGAGTGGAGATGTTGCTGTATGGCATTGTGTTATGATAATGTCACCCACATTGCAGAAAGAATTTACAGTGCCTTGCTTATCAGAAATAGTTTCCCATTCCTTTATATTTCTGGATAACTAAAACTGCTACTGTTGTAGACATACATTTCCTTAATTGGTCTATTCATACGTACATAAATATCTATCTATATAGCAATCAGGGCTGTGTGCTGATTCCATAAGCTGTAATTCTGTTTTAGGCTCAAGCTCAAAAAGATAGGCTCCCTCTAGTCCATATTCAGGCAGCTAATGCCAAGAAACCAAAAATTATAGAGCAGAGTAGATTATTTTGTCTTTATTAAAGTTTCTCCAGCATAACTTTTAATAATATGAACAATGAACTTTCATTGAGGCTGCATGTTTTCAATAGAGTTTTCAATAAAACTTTGAAACTGAGTCTTCTGTGAAGACTTTATTTTGGTCCTTGTCTGCACATCACAGAAACCTTACCATGGCTGACTGTTTAATTAATTACAAAGGGGGAATTTTAAAAATTGCAAGTTTTTAGTTTTGTTAAAACGTACCCTTGCCTCCCTAGAAGGTACAATTCAAAATGAGACATGTATTGCCAACTTGACCATCATCAGTGACAGTCATCATGATGTTGTCACTTCTGTCCACTGTAATGCAGTGTCCGAGAAATATTTTCAGTTGTGGCCTATGCAGCCTATCTACATGGATTAACCACGCTGTGACTCTTCACAATTTGTTCACCAACAGTAGCTTAGGTAGTAACAGTTTGATGTTAAATTCTTCCAGAAAGCCTTTCAAAAGATTAAGTACGTATGTATTAAAATGTATCTAACACCTGCATATGTTAATTGGAAGACTGAAATTTAAGACCTGCGGATCCGACCTGGCATCAATAACTCCTGTTAGCAACATCTGTGTTTTTTAATCATAGCCTCAAAACCTGGCTGTGTGGAGCTTTTTTTTTAAGAAAATGTCACATGAATAGTTCACTACTTTACATTTGCTCTATTATTTTAAACCAAACAGGAACAACTGTCTGAGGCCATCTGTCAGAACACCTGTAAGACACATTCTGTGACTCCAACAGCTTCCCAGGGGAACCTGCACAACAGCAGGTGAGAAATAGCACGTTAAAAGTCTACGTCTTATGCACTGCCATGACATAAATATTGTAGAAAATTTGTTCCCTTCCAATACCCTATTTATACGCTGAACACTCATAACTGGCTTGATCTGATTTGCAAAATTCAAAGGAGGAGAACAGAATACAAACACATTAGTCTTTTACATAGGTCAAACTAGTTCCGATTTTAAAGTATTACAAACTAACTGCTAGTTAGCTGTTAGCCTTTCACCTCTGAAATCATATTGACATGATGACAATCCTAATTATTGCACCAAACTGTGCAGCTGCTTGGCCATGTAACAATGTGGAGGGTACCACACAGTGCAACAACCAACTTTCCATTTAAGGCATGTGTCAAGGCGACCATGCAGAAAATTTAAACGGACCTGCTGTGTAATTAACAGACCATGCACCATCAAGCAATAATAGAAAGAACATTCTCTTTGGTCTAGATTCCCCACCGTCACTGAGCACCACCACCACTGCCCTCCTCCCCCTCGCACCCCACCACCCCCTGCCATCCTGCCCCCTGCCAAGTGGATTTGGGAGATTACCTGCCAAAGATGATCTATTGCAAAATAATTGAAGTTTCTTCTTAGGATTTTCTATTCAAGGAACGCTTGACAGTAATACCACTGTTGACTGTTTACCACTGCAAGAGGGCCAACAATTCAATTTTGCAGTAGACGTTGTTGCTTTGCCACGTCAATTTACAGCACCTAAAAGGCTATCAGGTACTTTCATGCATCACTGGAAGTGCTTTTACAACACCAGTGAGGAAAGGAATGCCAATAAGTGGTCCTTAAATGCTGTTTAACTGACGTGGCAGAATTATTCCATGTTACCTACACAGTTGCAAGAACCTTTTTTAAATATTTGTTCCCATGATGTGGATATTGCTAGCAAGGCCAAAACTTACTGTTATTCCCTTTTGCTCTGAAGTGTAGGAAGTGATTCAATGCCCTCATAAACATAGCTAAGGCAAAGCACTCTTGCTAATGTACATCTTCTATTGTTTTGGCAGCTTTCAACTTTTGTTTTCATTTACGCATTTCTTGGAATTTGGTCATTGTTGATGAGGCCAATATTTATTGCCTTTCTCTAGTTTCCCTCAAGAAGATACTAGTGAGTGCCCTTCTTGAACCTCAGCAGTCTGCATGGTGAAGGTATTCCATAGTGTTGTTAGACAGGACACCCCTCGATTTTGACTACACAATGATGAAAAAAGCTGCAGTGATGATTAAAATACATGAAGGCGTGGGCAAATTTGCCTTTGGAAAACCGTGGAAAATTCATTCACGGGGTCAAGCAATCAGAGAAAAGTATCCCCCGTAAAATGAACGGAAGGAAATGATGAACTGTTTCCCCAGGCACAGGCTGGTTCTCTCCCCTGCTTGCCACTGACACAACCTGTGACTGGAGGAGCAGCGAACAGTTAAACAAGTAAATGTCAGAAGTGAGAAAGTCACTCAGGGAGAATCCACTGGGAGATGGGGGCTGGGAGCCTACACGTGGAGCAGGAAGGTCCGGGTCTGAGATCCAGCTGCAGACAGATGTTTTCTGGGAGCCAGATGCAGTATTCTTGCACAGACCAGGAGGGGAGACAGGATTGAGGCGGATGTCTGTCTGCCAGGTTAAGAGGTGTTTAGGGAGAAAAGGAAGGCTGCACATGAAATTGGGGAATACAAAGGAATTGGAGGGGGGTGCGCAAGAGGCTGCAAGGTAATGGGGAGACGGGGAGGCTACAAGGGTGGGTGGCAGTACAAGGCAGAAAGGAGGGATGTGAGAGACAGGGAGGTCTCTAGAGTGTGGGTGGAGATAGTCCACAAGATCATAAAATAAAAGAGCAAAATTAGGCCGTTCAGCTCATCGAGTATGCTGTGCCATTTGATCATGGCTGATATGGTTCTCAACCCCATTCTCCTGCCTTCTCCCCAAAACCCTTGATTCCCTTACTAATCAACCGATTTAACTCTTTTTATGGCTTGGCCTCCACAGGCCTCCATGCCAATGAATTCCACAGATTCACCACGTTCTGGCTGAAGAAATTCCTCCTCGTCTCAGTTCTAAAGAGTCATCCCTTCACACTGAAGCTGTGCCTCCCCACATCCTGGTCTCTCCTGCCAATGGAAACATCTTCTCCATGTCCACTGTATCTATGCCTGACATAGTCATACTCACAGAATCATACCTTACAATGTCTCAGACACTACCATCACCAACGCTGGATATGTCCTCTTCCACCGGCAGGACAGACCCAGCAGAGGTGGCGGCACAGTGGGATACAGTTGGGAGGGAGTTACCCTGGGAGTCTTCAACATTGTGTCTGGACCACATGAAGTCTCATGGCTGCAGGTTAAACATGGGCAAGGAAACCTCCTGCTGATTATCACATACCGTTCTCCTACAGCTGATCAATCAGTACTCCTCCTCAATGTTGAACAACACTTAGAGGAAGCACTGAGGATGGCAAGGGCACAAAATGTACTCTGAGTGGGGGATTTCAATGTCCACCACCAAGAGTGGCTCGGCAGCACTACTACTGATCGAGCTGGCTGGGTCCTAAAGGACATAGCTGTTAGACTGGGTCTGCGGCAGGTGGTGAGGGAACCAACAAGAGGGAAAAACATACTTGACCTAATCTTCACTAATCTGCCAGCTGCAGTTACATCTGTCCATGACAGCATCGGTAAGTGTGACCATCGCACAGTCCTTGTGGAGACAAAGTCACACCTTCACATTGAGAATAGCCTCCATCGTGTTGTGTGACACAATTGCCGTGCTAAATGGGACAGACTTCGCTCTGATCTAGCAACTCCAGACTGGGCATCCATGAGGCGCTGTGGGCCATCAATAGCAGCAGAATTGTACTCCAGTGCAATTTGTAACCTCATGGCTCAGTGTCTCCCCCACTCAACCATTACCATCAAGCCAGGGGATCAACCCTGGTTCAATGGAGAGTGCAAGAGGACATGCCAGGAGCAGCACCAGGCATACCTGAAGATAAGCTATCAACCTGGTGAAGCCACCAAACAGGACGACTTGCATGCCAAACAGCGAAAGCTGCAAGTGATAGACAGAGCTAAGCGATCCTACAACCAACGGATCAGATCTAAGCTCTGCAGTCCTGCCACATCCAGTCATGAATGGTGCTGGACAATTAAACAACTCACTGGAGGAGGAGGCTGCACAAATATCCCCATCCTCAATGATGAAAGAGCTCAGCACATCAGTGCAAAAATAAGGCTGAAGCATTCGCAACAATCTTCAGCCAGAATTGCCAAGTGGATGATCCATCTTGGCCTCCTCCAGTGGTCCCCAGTATTACAGATACCAGTCTTCAGCCAATTCAATTCACTCTGCACGATATCAAGAAACAGTCGGAGACACTGGATACTGTAAAGGCTACGGGCCCTGACAACATTCCAGCAATAGTACTGAAGACTTGTGCTCCAGAACTTGCCGCTCCCCTAGCCAAGCTGTTCCAGTACAGTTACTACACTGGTATCTACCCAACAATGCGGAAAATTGCCCAAGTATGTCCTGTACACAAAAAGGGGGACAAATCCAACCCGGCCAATTACCGTCCCATCAGTCTATTTGCAATCATCAGTAAAGTGATGGAAGGTGTCACTAACAGTGCTATCAAGCAGCATCTGCTGAGCAATAACCTGCTCTGTGATGCCCAGTTTGGGTTCCGCCAGGGCCACTCAGCTCCTGACCTCATTACAGCCTTGGTTCAAACATGGACAAAAGAGCTGAATTCATGGGGTGAGGTGAGAGTGACAGCCCTTGACATCAAGGCTGCATTCGACCGAGTGAGGCATCTAGGAGCCTTAGCAAAACTGGAATCAATGGATATCAGGGGGCAAACTCTCCGGTGGTTGGAGTCATACTGACACATAGGAAGATGGTCGTGGTTGTTGGAGGTCAATCATCTCAGCTCCAGGACATCTCTGCAGGAGTTCCTCAGGGTAGTGTCCTAGACCCAACCATCATCAGCTGCTTCATCAACAACCATTTCTCCATCATAAGGTCAGATGAGGGAATGTTTGCCAATGATTGCACAATGTTCAGACCCATTCATGACTCCTCAGATACTGAAGCAGCCAATGTTCAAATGCAACAAATGCCAGGCTGTGACTATCATCAATAAGAGACAATCTAACCACCACCCCTTGACATTCAATGGCGTGACCATCACTGAATCCCCTATTATCAACCTCCTGGGGGTTATCATTGGCCAGAAACTCAACTGGACTCCCCACATAAACACAGTGGCTACAAGAGCAGGCCAGAAGCTGGGAATACTGCGGTGAGTAACTCACCTCCTGACTCCTCAAAGCCTGTCCACCATCTACAAGGCACAAGTCAGGAATGTGATGGAATACTCCCCACTTGCCTGGATGAGTGCAGCTCCAACAACACTCAAGAAACTTGACACCATCCAGGACAAAGCAGCCCACTTGATTGGCACTACATCCACAAGCATCCACGCCCTCCACCACCGACGCTCAGTAGCAGCAGTGTGTACTATCTACAAGATGCACTGCAGAAATTCACCAAAGATCCTCAGACAGCACCTTCCAAACCTATGACCACTTCCATCTAGAAGGACAAGGGCAGCAGATATATACAACCTTCAAGTTCCCCTCCAAGCCACTCACCATCCTGACTTGGAAATATATCGCTGTTCCTTCACTGTCACTGGTTCAGAATCCTGGAATTCCCTCTCTAATAGCATTGTGGGTCAACCTACAGCAGGAGGACTGCAGCTGTTCAAGAAGGCAGCTCACCACCACCTTCTCAAGGGCAACTGGGAATGGGCAAGAAATGCTAACCAGCCAGCAGCACCCACATCCCGCAAACGATTAGTAAAAAAAAAGGCCTCTCAGTGTCCTGTGAGTTTCATGGTCCATGTTCAGGGACATTATGTTGGGGGAACTGAGAATTAAGAAAGGGATGATCACCTTATTGGGACGGTACTAT